TCAAATAGGAAATAAACCAGTTTGTTCACTAAGAGATGACATGGCCCATAAAAGAGTCCTTTACATAGCTGTTCGAAACTACCATCTCTATGAGTCGGCACCAACTCCACGGCACCGAACCACCACCACCCATAGCTGAGAAAACAAGATGATCACAGGGCAAAATGTAAGTTACAAAATAAGATTTTAAAACTGTTCTCCAAACTCTGAATCTCATTTTAAGCTCCCATGTACACTTTATAACTACATCTAACAACTTGGAAATATGAGATAAAAGCAAATTCAATAAATAATTCAAAAAAACAATCTTCACTTTTTAATTTCAAGCCAAAGGAAAATTTAAAGTGGATCATGGACTCTTAACTGCACAGAATTTCACATTTTGAATGTCCAACCATATAGGATTGTTTAAAAATTATGGTACATTCGCGTTGTGGAAAACCCTGCAGCCTTTCCAAACCATGTGGTGGAAATGTCTTAAAGAGAGTTTCAATTCAACACGCACAGTATGATACCAATTTAAAAATAAACACATAAATATTCATACCAGTACACGTATTATTTAAATATTTACTGAAAGCATAAAAACTAAAATATTAATGAAAGTTATCTCTGGGTGGTGGGGTTAAAAGTGGTTTTTAGCCGTTTTTTGTGCTCTAACAATCTTTTACCACTGCTGAGATGTGTATTATCTTTGTTGTAAGGAAAGCTATTTTTAAAATAACTCTGGACTCAAGCGTGGCAACAGTAGTGAGGTTAGCCCAGGATCGGGCAGTGTTTCGTTATGCTGTACATAAGGTCACTATGAGTCAGTACTGACTCAATGGCACTTAACAACTACAACAACAACAACATGGGTAAATTTATGTTCAGAAAACCACAAAAGAGTACTGTTTAAAGATGTAGCTAAATTTAAAAAAATCAATAGTTGACTTTTTCACAACAAAAACTCAAAGAATAATAAACATTTATCTCATTAATTGTAATGACCAAGGAAAATGAAAATCAGGTATTAACATGATTCCTTTTTCTCAAATCATTTCTTGCAAGGGCCTTTCAGCTGAGCCCAGCTAAAAATCCATATAAATCAGATATTAATCAAAGCGATGACATGGCCAATTACAAAGTCGCAAACCTAGCTGTGAAAACAAATGACCACATGGAAAAATAGAACTTATGAAATAAGATTTTGAAAACTGTTCCCCAAACTTTGATCTTTATTT